AGGTATCACCCCTTGTGTGCTGCCCCAACTCCTCATTGATGGTTTTTCAGAACCCGTGCTCTGTATCCTAACTTACATACTCCCACAAGTTTATTACTATACAGGAGAAGGAGGACGAGAACATCTAGGACTCAGTCCACACCGGACAAAAAGAGCTCCCATTCTAGTACCCCTCCTTAATGGACTGGGAATCACAGGATCTGCAGCAGTAGGAACAGCTGCACTTGTCAAAGAATCTTCAGATTTCTCAGAGCTCCAGAAACAGGTAGACATAGACCTCTCCAGCCTCGAGGGCACCGTCACTAGACGACGCCAGGACTTAAAGTTTTTAAAACAAGAAGGTCCGTGTGCTGCACTCGGAAAAACTTGTTGCTTTTATGTTAACCATTCTGGAGTAGTCCGCGAAAACCTTAGTAAGCTCAGGCAAAGGCTAAAGGAACGAGCTGAAATAAGAAAGCAACAAGAAAATTTGTTCTCTACCTTACTTCAGTGGTCCCCATTGCTGTTGCTAATCCTCATTCTAACTCTTGGGCCTTGCATTTTCACGTACGTATTTCACCGTATGCAAGCTCGTGTGCAAAGCCTTAAAATCCGTTCGGCTCAGACTCATAGTCAGCACCTCACCAAAACGGATGAATCAATGATTTGATTAAGAAAAACCAGTAGGGAATGTAAGAGCCGAGCCTCGGGAATTCAGTTACTGGAAAAGTACAGCTACCCCCACCTGACCCGCTGGAGCAGTTTCTAGCAAACAATCCCACTGAATAGAACAAATACAGCATGGTTTAAAATTTAAAAAGTGCGCATCAGGGTTGTATCCTTTCTCCATGCCGATTCAGTTTCTAGACTGAGCAAATTTTAGAAATTGGACTGTGTGAAGAATGCTTTATTATTATTGTTAGAAAATAAAGTTCTTTTATTTTCAAGATTGGGAAAGATATGGCCCCTGCTAAAACAGACTTTACTTCTTTGTAAGGGCATAAGGGTAACAGACTTTCCTAGATGTGAAGTAACCAATCAGATTTAAGCAAGTTTTCAAGGCGCTTCCATAAGCTATAGCCAACCAATCAAGAGTGAACAAGTATCCCCAGCTACTAGAAGGATATATAAGGTTAAGAAAAATTGCGCTGGGGCTCTCGGGTGGATGCTGCTGCGTCAGCTAAGCGGGAGCCCAGGTTCGAACTAGAAATAAACACTGTTAATTTGGTTAATTGGCTCGGTGGTCTTTTCTGGGGATTCCCTCCGTTACAGGACGCCCTGGCCCCGGCAGTGGCTTGATTCTGTCCCTGCCATCTGCTATGACTGTTACAGAGCTTGGGGCCTCGAATGCAACTTTAATGGGGAAACGTGGGATAGACGCTGTGAACGTCAAAGACGACTTGCACAGTAAGGAGAAAATTCAGGGAAACGCGACAAGACCCTTTGCTCTGCGTGAGGAACCCCTTTCCTTCTCTGAAAACTCCCGTTGTGCCCGTAAGGTGCGCTAGTTCTGTTGTAGAAATTAAAATAGTGCGTGTAGTTAGCAAAAACTTCCTATTTGTGTTTGCCTTCTCAGTGACATTTTGCGTTGCCAAATAATTGAAGCCTCTGCAGAAAAACTTTGTTTGAACCTAATACTTTAGCATTTGAAAACTCCAAAGTTAATGCCATTCGCTATATAACTTTTTTCTACGACACTATCATTTATTGACCATATTCAAGACTTAATTCTTGTCTGTATAGTTGGCTTGCCAAGCAGCTGAGAAACATGCAGATCAAACTGAACACTATTAAAAGGGGGGAGGGTTAATCATGGGGTTGTACAATTTGATGGGATGTTATGGAAATTGAACAATCTGGAAGAACTGTGTTCGAATTTGGTAAGTAAACGAGTATAATTTTTTTTTTTAAAAAAGGCAGGGGCCATATCTTTCCCAATCTTGAAAAGAGCTTTATTTTCTAATAATAAAGCATTCTTCACATAGTCCAGTTTCTAAAATTTGCTCAGTCTAGAAACTGAATAGGCATGGAGAAAGGATACAACCCTGACACGCACTTTTTAAATTTTAAACCATGCTATGTTTGTTCTATTTGGACAACTGCTTCTAGACCCAAGTATGGGTTTCACACAAGCACAATGAAGTGTTCTGGGATGCCCATCCTGCCTCTGCAGAGTCTGATGTGGATTCTTCTCCCACCCCCACCCTGTTTTTTTTTCATCATGCCAATTTTCACATTAATGAAGTGTGAGGAGTGAATATAAGAATTTTCCATGAAAATGGACATAGATCTGTGTTCCTCTCTTTAATGAAAGCAAGTTTTTTTCCCCCAGCAAGTGCAACACCTGTATAGACAGATAATATTTAAATATTTTAAATAATCACCAGTATTTAACTATTGTTTATAATACTTGGTTATTATAAACAATGTTTCCATGTACATCCCTGGGCTTTCTTTTTTCTTCCTCTGGAAAAATTCCTAAAAGTGGAAGCTCTGTTCCCTTTCAGTGGGAAATGGTATTTAGAGACTTTAGGCCTGGGATTAGGTGTGTTGGCTATTATTTTTGGTTTGCTGCTCCCTGAAACTAGGTGGAGATAGGAATTTATGATGCACACGTTTATCTATATATACATTCATCTATCTATACATTATTAAGAGCTCAGCAAGCAGGGTTGTGTCATCTGCATAACACAGATTGTTGATGAGTATCTCCAATCTTGATGCCACACTTCTCATAAAGCCCAGCCTCTGGGATAATCTGTTCTGCATATGGACTGAAAAGATAATGGAGATAGGACACATCCTTGATGCACACCCTTCCCAATTTTGAACCATGCAGTATTTCCTTGCTCTGTTCTGACGGCTGCCTCCTAATCCAAGTATAAGCTTTGCATAAGCACAATCAAGTGTTCTGGGATTCCCATTCTTCTCAGAGTCAGCTAGAGCTTGTTGCGTAGTCAATGAAACAGACATTTCTCTGGTACTGTCCGCTTTCAGCCAAGATCCATCTGACATTAGTTACAATCTCCCTAGTGCCACGGCCTCTTCTAAATCCAGCATACACCTCAGGCAGTTCTCTGCTGATGTGCTGTTCCAGCCGTTTTTGCATGATCTTCAGCAGAATCTTGCTTGCATGTGATATCAATATTGTTCAGTAATTTCCACACTGTCGCATCACCTTTCTTTGGAATAGACAACCCTGCTTGCTGAAACTGAGGAGGACCTGAAGTGTTTGCTGCAGAAGGTCAAGGATTGCAGCCTTCAATATGGATTGATGTTCAACCTCAAGAAAACAAAGATTCTCACCACTGGGCCAATTGGCAGCATCATGATAGATGGTAAAGAGACTGAGATTCTTGACAGCTTTAGTTTGCTGGCTCTACAATCAACACTCTTGGTACCAGCAGCCAGGAAATTAAAAGAGGAATCGCATTGGGAAAGTCTGCTGTCAGAGACCTCTCCATGGTACTGAGGAGCAAATGTCAGTCTGGAGGAAGATGTGCTTGATGCAGGCCATGGTCTTTGCCATTACTTGCTATGCATCAGAGAGCTGGACAGTGACTAAGGATGATAGAAGGGAGCTCTGGCGTTAGAAACTGTGCTGCATGGCGAGCTCGGGTGGCCTAGTGGCAAGAAGCTGCAACTGCAATCTCAGAGGTGCACGGTTCAAATCCACCAGATGCTCTGCTGGAGAAGGAGGAACAATCTCCTCCTGTACCAGTCAGATCTGATTTGACGGTACACACACAAAAATAATAAAATAAACTTTAAAAAAAAGAAAGAAACTGTGCTGCAATTCCAGAGGTACGCGGTTCGAATCCACCAGATGCTCTGTTGGGAAAAGGAGAGCAATCTCTTCCTGTACCAGTCAGATCCAATTTGACAGTATACATACAAAAGAATAAAATTTTTAAAAAAATTTAATAAAAGGATGATAGGAGAGTTGATGCCTTTGAGCTTTGGTGCTAGAAAAGAGTATTGAATATACCATGGACTGCTAAGAGAACAAAGTTTGTCTTTGAGAGGCTGAAGCCAGGCTGCTCCTTGCAGGCAAGGATTCTGAAGCTCCATCTGACACACTTGGGCCATGTTGCAAGGCAGAATCAGGCCTTGGAGAGGGACGTCATGCTTGGGAGGGTGGAAGGACAGCGCAGAAGAGGACCCTTGATGAAATGTATTGATTCTGTCACTGGGATAATGGGGGGTAGGTGTGTCAGGCAATAGGGTTGGCAAGAGATAGAGCAGGGTTATGGTTGTACATAGGGTCGCTATGAGTTCCATATAACAACATTAACAGGTCTGATAGGCTGGAGCAAGAAGCTGCGCTGCAATCCCGAAGACCCGTGGTTTGAGGCCAACAGCTGCTCTGAGGAGAAGGATGGGCAATCTCCTCCGGAGCGATTAGTCCTTAGAAAAAGTATTAACTAAGGTCAACTGTTAAACTATGCCCAGAGAGACCTGGGTCCTAGAAAAGGCCGGCTCTCTTGGGCAGCTGCTGGAGTGCTCTGTAGAGGATGGGGTTACCCTGGCCATCCACAGACCTCCCCACGAGTTCAAAACACCCACAGCTCAACGGCTGCCAGGCGCTTTAACCACAGCGCCAGGCCACGCTCTCTACTGAGCATTCACTTTGGTGAAATGGAAAGATATGCCGGACTTGTTGCGGTGCTCTCTAGGAACCGACTCACAGCGGACCCTCCGGCGGGAGGAGACTGTCCAGCCTTCCCCCGCGGAGCAGTTGGTGGATTGCAACTGCGTCCCTTTGGATGGGCGGCGCAATTCCCTTCCACTAGAGCTCCCTGCTAGATTTACGATACCCCAAATTGAGCCAGGGTGAATGGGGAGCGGATCCACGTCGGCGCTCCGCACTCCCGGAGCCGCGCAGGCCCACCGGGGCGAAGAATGGGGACGGAACTCCCGCCACCGGAAGTTCCCCCAAGCCACGCTCCGTGCACTTCCGCCCCGCGCGGCCGGAAGTGGCTGCCTGTGTGCCGGCGGGTCCCGGCCACGTTGACGGCGCCATGGCGGGCGCGGAGTTGCGGGCGGAGCTGGAGCAGCGACTTGGCGCACTGTCCATCCGCACGGAGGTCGTGGAGCACCCCGAGGTGGGCGCCGCGGGGTGGGGGTCACGGGTGACCACGTGGAGATGGCCGGGCCGCCGGGGTCCTGCACCTAGCTGATCCGTGTAAGGCATGTCCCCGACGGCACAGGGTCCATAATGCGGGGAGATCGGTGTGAGCAAAGTCCCCGACGGCACAGGGCCCCAGTGAGGTCTTTAAGTTTCTGAGACCCGAGTCGGCTTCTTGACACCGCCTGTCGGAAACTGGTCCAGCCTGTTTTCTCTTAGGCATAGTAAGTTAGTGGTGGTATTGCAGGAATAGTGCCGCCTCTTTAGTGACTACAGTCTACTAGGTACCTTTTGGGAACAGGATGCCGAGGTCCATCAAGTTTGGTTTTTTTGCCATCCTGGCCAGTTTGATCTCAGAGCCTGCTCTTTTTTGCATTATGAGCAAAAATTGTCAGCCCCCGAAGTAGTTACAGAATTATACACACAGCCCTTATTTCCATTAGTATGATGCATTTTAACATGGCTTGGCTACTGATATGTACAAAATACTCCGTGGAACGTGTGTGGTTTGAATTTGTGATGGAACCTATCATTTGCTCAAGGCTGCTGATCCTTGTGAATTTTCTGGGCTAGAGGCATGAAAAGTATTTCATTCTGTCATTTTACGTAATCAACTATTTTTTGAGCAGACCTAGCTTCTGTTACCAGTCTTAACCTTATTCCTGTATTCCCAGTAGATACTGTGGAAAGTATCATGAGTTTCATGTTATTTGCTACTGAACGCTACACCTCAATGGCAGAAAGGAAAATAGTCAAGCATTTCCTAGAATAGTTTGCAGGATGCCTAAAATTACTTTCGTTGCAATCGTTCCATGGAATTAAAATGGCCACAGTACCCTAGTGTTTATGCAGTTCCTAGAGAAGATATTCTGTATGCGCATATTTTGAGATTTTTTTTCCCAGTACCAAGATTTGGTCAAGTACGTTGCCCTTCTTCAAATGCTGCCCTAGTCAGAACGTTCTATGTGGAATGCTTTCTCAGGGTATTGACTTAAACTTTGAAATCTCTTGTCATCCCATCATCTTTTCATAAGGTCCTTAACAGTGTATAAACAGAAGAACCCCATTAAGAGATACTTTTGTTTGGCATACACAGGTCTAACCAGGTTATTTTAAAATAAAAAATTTCTGTGAATCACTGAGGTTTTAAAAAACCTGGCTAGCTAGCTTTTCTTAAGAACAGTGGCAGTTCTTAAGTCATTCCATCTTGTTCAGGTCTATATGGCTCCTGTTAACCATTTGAGTTGAGTTACAGTTGTCAGCTTCACCATGTGAAGTTACATTCACTTTTGCTGAATTAACATCTTGTGACTTCTAATACATTATGTATTTTATGATAGAATACATGCCAAAGGTACTTGTTACCCAGTTCCTGTTTCGGGGTTTTTAAAAATCTCAAAAAATGTCATAGACGCCTCAAGCTCACTCCTTGCCACTCGGACACTTCCGACCCGTAGTAACCCTCCAGCAGGGGTCCAGGCCTATAACTCCCAATGGGAGCAGACTGCCGATTTTTCTTCCAAGGAGTGCGAGGTAGACTTGAACTGAAGCGGTATAGCCTTTGGGTTGGCAGCAAAACTCACGATGGACTGTGCCTCACCTTCCTACATTAGAGAACTTGTGTGCTTGCCTGGAGTTGACCCTCCAGCTGGTTTTCATGGAAGAACTGATGCCTTTGAGTTGTGTTGTGTTGTAGAAGAGTACTGAATCATGGTATCATGGACTGCCAAAAAAACAGATGTGTCTTGGGAAAAGCACAGCCACATTGCTCCTTGGAGGCAAGAAAGGCAAAGGTTTGTCTCATACACTCCACCTGTTTTCACCCAGCCAGTGAAATGTTAATGTGTATGTTTGTGTGTGTGAGAGACTTTATTTTTCAACTTGTGATTTTTTTTTTACAGGTGTTTACAGTTGAAGAAATGATGCCTCATATTCAGCATTTAAAAGGAGCCCATAGTAAGAACTTATTTCTTAAAGACAAAAAGAAAAAAGGCTATTGGCTGGTGACAGTTCTTCACAACAGACAAGTTAATTTAAATGATCTTGCCAAACAGTTGGGTGTTGGAAGTGGAAACCTGAGGTTTGCGGATGAAACAGCCATGCTGGAAAAACTCAAAGTTGGCCAAGGGTGTGCCACGCCCCTGGCTCTCTTCTGTGACAATGGAGACGTGCGGTTTGTCCTGGATTCTGCCTTCCTGGAAGGTGGACATGAGAAGGTCTACTTTCATCCAATGACCAATAGTGCGACCATGGGGTTGAGCCCTGAAGACTTTCTCTTGTTTGTGAAGAAAACGGGACATGATCCTTTAATACTAAATTTTGACAAAACTAGCTAATGTTTAAAATAAATAAATGGATTTTGGAATTTTTTCTTTTACATGAAAAGCATGTGAGTGATGGTTAGCATCCTTGGCCTGGTGACTGCCTGAGTCTTTTCAGGAGCACTGTTTTATCCTCAAGGGGCCATTTTGCAAGGCTATCCTGAAGCAGTTTTGGGCAGTCCCTCCCTTCCTCCCCCCCCTCCCTCTTGTTCTCTGAACAAAACTCCGATTCTCTGGTGGAATTCCTTCAACTCTTAGGACTCCTTCTAGGATCAAGTGTTTTGCACCTTTTAGGAGACTTTCTGTACTTTGACCCCATTAGACTGGTAATAACAACTCCCTGGAAATCTAAGAGGGTTGGGAGACGAGGCCAAGGTAAACACTTTACATTACTGGGAGTTTGTTTTTAAACCAGTGACTTTCCTCCGTGAAAAAGAGGCTGCTTCACATCCTATTTGACGTAATCTGTAGCAATTTTTCATTAGGGAAAACGAAAAATTTAACACTTGGCACTATTCGATCTATACACGATGTAATTACTTGCTTTGACTCAGTTCAGGTTAAAGATGTGAATATACTGTGTAAATTTCTTCCTTAAACTATATCCAGGTTTTATTTCCCATTCAAATATGGTAACAATGTAAAAACTTAGGAATAAGAGTTGTCATATAAGCTACCTAAAAAAATAGCTACAATGAAATGTGACATATTTTTATCTCATTTGAACATCTGACCTAAGTGGGGCTATAGAAGTTTTAATTAAATGAGATGTTTTTAACATTTTCTTAACTTTGATCACACAAAAAAGAATCACATATTTTTATCTCATTTGAACATCTGACCTAAGTGGGGCTATAGAAGTTTTAATTAAATGAGATGTTTTTAACATTTTCTTAACTTTGATCACACAAAAAAGAATCATCTAGTAGAGCTATTATGAACAGTAAATTGCTATCAGTTATTAAAAGCAAACAAAAAGTAACAATTTGATTTACTTTATGATGCATAAACTGCATGGAATATGTGAAAATCCTTTATTTTTATCTCTACTGTCTAAGAAAAAGAATGAGTGTGGGGGGGTGTGTGTAGTATTTCTAGGTTCCTTATGTGTGTAAAATGAAGGCATTAATTACCAGGATGATGGAAATTGAAGATCTTATATTATCTGATCTGCTTTCTCCAGAAAGACTGATGTGCCAAAAGACACAAGGCCAGAAATTTCTGTATTCTGCTGCTTAATTTGGAAAATACTAATTTGTGTAACCTATTACATTTTATTTAAACCTGTTTTGGAACTGGTGCAATCATCCCAAAAAGACTATGGAAAGTTCTTGGTTCTGTGTGGATATAGGTGTTCTGGGACAATGGGAAAGGAATGAAAAAGAACCGCTGGCTACAGTTATTTGTATGTAACACTTAAATGATTACTAACCACATGTTAGAAAAAGTCCTTTGTTTTATTTTTATGTCAGTATAGTAACTGACATAAGCCAAATTAATGCTCAATGCTAAACCAAGTTACTTTTCTCAGGGGAAAACAAAATTAAAAACTAAAATGTAATATGTTTTTAAACAAAAGTACTGTGTTAAAAAAAGACAGATAAAGCGGAACAGTGTCACTCTGGTTACGAGGTGGGTTTCTGAGGCAGTTAGGCGCCAGCAGGTACATAGTTCACCCCTCAACTCCGAATCTCTCAGAGTCATTACTTTGAAAAGAAATGTTACAGTTCTTATAGTATTTGATTTGGCATTTAATAACAGTTATAAGTACAATGACAAACATTGAAAAAGAGAATTCTTTGTAGAAACGAAACCGTTTAAAATCAGATTTTGTTAAAGGGTATTTTAAGTGCAACTTTATCCATAAGCATTCCTTTTAAGGCATTTTCACTGTTGTCCAAATATCTCAACATGCACATCCAGGTTTTTACTATAAATGGGCTCCTTTTGCATTATTCAAATCTTAAAGAGAAAAAAAAATACATTTTGGGACTAAGCTGGAAAGAAAAGCACAAACAAAAATCCACTACTTTTCCAAAAGTAACTTAAAATACAAGTTATTTAGCATACATTATTACTCTCTGTTGTAATCCAAGTTTGGTACAGTATCTTTTCCACTTCCTGACATAAACCATTAAGACAGTGTGGGCTGCAATAGCTTCATTTGTGAGGTGACAAGTCAGTAATACGCACAGTGACTGTGAAATAGGCTCTTCCCATGCCTTGGCATGGAAGGTGCTACGCTTAAACCTATTCTGTTCTTTGGTAACCACTAATTAAAAATCTTGGACAAAATACTCCCACATGGTGGAAGTGGAAGCAGTTGCTAAGCTCTGGGCTGAGGGGAACTATTACCCTGTGTACTGAATTCCATTTCCTTGGGGCTTGAGATGTTGACTTAGGATACAGCTAAATCACTAAAAGCACATGGCCTTGATGAGTTTCCGGTTGGTTTTACTATTTTGTTTGGCTGAGAAAGCTCATCTGTGGGGAAAGGATCTCTTTCCCAGTTTGCTCCTGATGGGAAAATAGATGGTGATTATTTAGTCCTGTCTTAAGTCGTATGGACATGGTATGAAAGAGATGGTGAATATAACTGGGATTTCTCCTGTTTTTGATGTCTCAATGTTCCATTGTATTGGCTCCAACTGCCTTTTCTTAAGAGTCATCCTACTCATATTTAGTTATTTTATAGGTTGCACTTAAGCATTTTCTATTTGAGGTTAAAAGGTGCTTCTTAAGTCAGCATGTCCCCTATTTTAGGATATTAGTTGTGGGGAGGTCAAGCTTGGATACCCTTAACCTTCACTGGGTTACCTCCTACTCATTAAATTCCAACTTTCAGTAATTGTCCTGGGATGTGTCCTAGTTGTGCAAATTAGATGCTAGTTAATATAAATCTAAGTTACCTACTTACTGTACTTAGGTAAAACATAATTTCTACATTCAGTTTCAGTTTACCCACCAAAAAATGAATTTACATTTTTTACATGGAAGTGTCTCTAGGCTGGCATGCTCATTACCAGGGTGACACTTGAATCCAGGGAGTTATTACGAAGACAGAAGTGTCAAGGTCCAGAGAGTAGGTTTTAAACATGTCTTGTGCAATACTTTGTTATTTTAGTAAAAATTCTTGGTATTTACATTTATATAGCACCTTTCATCCAAGAGTTTCAAAGTGACTTAATTTTACAGCATTATTTGGTGGCAAAACCAAAGTTAATGGTGGCATTAAATTAAAGTCCAAGTTCTTTCTCATTTCCATTTCCGGTCAGCTAAAGTTGCTGCTTCTCTCCCTCTTTGTAATGAAGGTTTTCCAAAAGTAGACTATGAACACAACACTGCTACTGGCCTAAGGGGCACTGGGGTGGGAGGAGACACACACACACACACACACGCACACACACACACACAAACAAACCCCTCATGGCTACTGGATTAATAATGAAACACAGTTGATAACCACACACAATGAAATACAGCTACTCTGAAAAGAGCTTTAGAGCTGGTAATGTAAGCCTAAGAAGTACACGGTTAAAAGAAAATGTTAGTATCTTTGTAATTTCAGACCTTTAAGATTATTCTGATATTTATGTTAAATAATGAAATTTTGTTAATAAGTATCAATGCATTTTTGATTTTATAAGAAAATAAAACTGTGATATAAAATTGGAACGACTAAAAAAATTCATGTTTCCCTGGGTTAACTAAATCTACTTTTTGTGCTTCTTCCAAATGTTCAAGGTAACAAAAGCATACAAATATTTCAAAAGTACCAATAATAGTTATCAACTTTAATGTGATATTATAAAGGACAAAACAAATTTTATTAATAAATGATAACCTTAATAAGAAGTGAATTCCTGGCAAAATGCAGAGCATAGTAAATTATTTACATTCTTTTTTTGCTAGAAGAAAACTTCTTAAGCAACAGTCAGCTCTCAAGTTTTTTAAAAAAAGCTAGCACACATACATCATAATCCAATATCAAAGAAGGGAAATGAGTAAAACTTAACAGTTTGTCTTGGGAAAGCCATGTGCTGGAAAACCAATCACCTTATTAAAAAGGTTTAGAAAAACACTTAAATTACCTTGGCTCCATGTGGGAAAGCCTAGTGTGGCTTAATGAGGAATATGGGAAGCAGATTAATAGCACTACATTTCTCATCATTTTTGTCCTGTTCCGGATTGTTCTCTTCTGAATTTCTTTTGTGGTGCATCAAAATAATGGGTTTTTTTACGAGTACCAACACATGCAATCTGCTAACCAAATAAAAGGCTCTGACATGCCAAAACAATTTTCTCTGTATCCTGATATATAGTACATTCCACAAAATACTACAGCATTTGATTTAGATTTACACAACTAAATACAAATGGCTAGAGTTGGGCAAATATTTCGCAGAAGCGTTAAGCAAACATGGCTAAATTCATAAACACATGATGAAAGGAAGAAGTAGACTGTTCTTGGAGTACTCCTTGAAACCATGACACTTGGTCCTTAGTGAGAGAACATCCTTTTACTCAGCAGATCTTAAGAGTACAATGTCTACAAAGTCCTAAAACCTAAACATTTTGGCAGCTGATTCCAGTAGTGCTCCTTGATTCAAGGAAGGAATGAAGGTTTGCATTCTTGCCTGCTCTATTCACGAAGGATTGTTAAAAGTCTCCTTTAAAAGATTTTAAAAAATGACTCCTATAGTTGGCTGTCTTGTTACTTCAGAATTAAAGGCTTCATACTGAGAAACTGAAGGACACTTTTCTCTCTGTATTTAGTTGGAAGGTAGAAAGAAGAAAGAAAATGTAAGAAAAGCTTGAAGATAAAAGAGATATCTACAATACAGAGCAGTCACCATGAGAAGAGCATGCACCGGATACTTCACAGGAATGAAAAAGTGACAGAGGCAGAGGCCATTTTTCTTTGAGCGGCTCTTCATCAAAGTTACATAATTTAATCTTATTTATTATCATGGCCAAATTGTATTCCTACCATACACAAAATGCTTTAAAAAGTTTTTCCCCCTTCAACATTATTCACTAATAAAATGAAACTTAAACGGAAAAATAAAAATCCTTTTTAAAGCTTCTTCCCTGCATGGACAGGCAAAAACTTATGGCAACCAACTAATCCTGACCTTGACAGAAAGTCAATGAAAGAATGAAGCAAGCAATATTTACATCTGTTAATGCAATGGGCACTTGTTCTCATTCTTATTGCAGTTAGTTTGTATAAATGAGGCTAATCTCATTTACACTTTAAACCAGAAACTCACCACTTCGCCCACATGTCATGTAGTGGGTAAAAGAATTAGGAGCTTTGTTGCTCCCTAGACCTGCTTTTTGAAATTCTGCTTTCTTGTACTGTGTCCACATCTGCAGGAGAAAAGTATTTCATGTTATTTAACCAAAGATTAATACACAGTGCAATTAATGAAGATAAGAACCTACAGAGCTCTCAGCAGGGTAAAGGAGAAGGGGTCTGTAACTTCCTGGGAAATTAATCAAAGTTACCACACTACTTAATGACTGGTATTTGAATATATTTATGAAGGGTAAATTGATTTTTTTAAAAGCATTCAGAAAGGTTTACTTTAATGATGTTTATTTACATGCACTTATTTATAAACAATTCTTGCATATTTAGCAGCAAGAATACCCATAATGAAATATATATACATGTATATATATTTATTATTTACTAATGAAACCAGGGCTTGAGGAATATTTAATAGGGAAATAATGTATACTGACTAAAGCTAAAATGGCTTGGTTAAAAAAAAGGACACAATGCTTAAACATGTAAAAGTTTACAATGCATTGCAAATAAGATGGCTATATATGTTTCCAGAAATCTAAGCCAGGGAAGTGAAATATGTGCAGTCTGGTAATTTATAAAATTTGAGTAGTAAGTCTTTATATTTTTCCCCTCCAATAATATTTGTGAAGTCTTATTTATGGAGGTTGTCTTATAAAAAAGAATAACTGTTCAACTGAAGACTTATTCCATTTTTATTTAAAACATTTTTTTCTAGGCTATCTTCACAAGAGTTTATTTCCAGAGTGTTATATGCCTTTTTTAAAAAAACAAACAAAAAAAACCACAAAAAACAACACACACACAGCAAACATGGGTTCTACATGATCTCTCAGTTTTGAGTCTTGTTAGAAATCTTGTTAGTCTTGTCCAGGGGAAATTTATGATTCCCTGGGATATGGGCTCTGGAGAACGTGTAGTGTGTTCTTGGGACAGCGGACAGGATTTCTTTTTACTGTACATATACAGTATAGATATAACCACAGTTATATGAGCAGGAAACCTTTGTTTCCCTCATGTAAGTTGAATTTTATAAAAGTTTCATTATTACTAACATATATAAAAAAATACATATATCCACACACATGTTATTTAATGTTATGCCCAGATTTTTAACAATTGAAAAAAAATTGGAAGCTGTGAAATAATCTTTGGCTGAGGATAGGAAAAAACCCCCTATTTATATCTCATACGGTCCCCTGTCTTCTCGCACCTGTTTACTCGTAAGTGACAGTCCTAGGTTATGAAAAAGGAAAAGAGTGATTTTTATTTTTTCAGATAAGGAGGATATTAGCAACGAAAGCCTTACAACTATCCAGACTCCTCAAAAATTACAATAAAGCTGACTGCCGTATTTATGCAGAAAATATATTAGCTAGAAGTGAAAAATAGTAAAATTTTTCCCATGTCTATCTGATTACTTCCCTTGGGACCATTTTTAGTGCTATCTGGTATAAGACATTTTTAGTGCTATCTGGTATAAGACATCTAGTCAAAGAAATTACCCTCTGAGATCAAGTCTCTAAAATGATCTCACTGACATAAAAGAGGATGGCTTAACACAAAAAAAAGACAAAGTTTCATTATGCAAAGAGATTCTAAACAGATTTTGTTGGCTTGGAACAAATTAATAATGTTACGTACATATTCCTAAAAATCTCCGTCCCAATGAGAAAGTCACATTTCAAAGCATTCCTTCCAGACACTGAGCTATTTTCAGTAGTATGCAAGCTAAATCAAAATGGCAAATATACTCTAAAACCAAAGCTAATATAACACTCTTCCAGAGGTTAAGTGACTCAGGGTTACAGATTTAAAAAAAAAAATTCTAGGAGTTCTAGATTTAAGTTGAGCTAATTCTGCTTTAAATATACTATGATGACAGAGTTTTAAAGTTTATGGCACTAGGTAGGCATCAGCAAGTATTTTAGCTATAGCGTTTGTATTTACTCTTAGTTCTAAAATTTATTTCACTAAAAAGGTATTGTTTATGCAGTTCAAGTTTTAACCTTACATTTTAGCACAATATTCTCATAAAAGTTCTGTTGAAGGATATACATATAAAATCTAATAAATCAAGCTTAGCAGTAACAATCCTCTAAGTTTAATATTTTATGTGCTTTTTTGAACTAAAGCTTCAAAGTCTGAAGACTTTATTATTAGTCCTCATTTTATAAAATTGCTACACTCTTTAAATAGAATTAAAAATACAAATTTCCAACACACTGAGCATGATTTTGTTTATTTTTCACTCTGTATATTAAAAAAACCAAAAACCAAAAACTACTGTATTAAATGATTCCAAGTGGAAGAAAAGTTTTCTTGATCAAATGATAGTGATTGAGTTTTGTATTTATCAGATGCAGCAAAGTGCACAGGAAAAATAAAATTTACAAAAATGCGCCTAGTTACTGTGTAAGTTACATTTAAATGTGATTAAGTTTTTAAGAATAACACTAGTTTTATGAATATTAACAGTGTTTTAAATCTGAACAAGACTGTATAAATATAGGTGAATTATTTCTACACAAAACATTAACTGAATTATTAACTATTTTTCTAAAAAGAAAATGACTGAACAGATGGCGCAATTAAACTGGCAAAAAACAAAGATATCTTTTCACACATTTTCCTTACTGAGATTGTTGATGTGGAGGATGAAGTACACACTCCATGGTGGAAAAGAGAGGGAGTTGGGAGAGGAAGACAAAGGAGGGGCACGAAAAGAGGGAGGGAAGGAAAATGAACATTCTCCTCAAAACCAACAGAGCACTTATGACCTGGACATGCATGCGAATCTCTTAACATGCTTCTGGAAACCGCACAATCTTTTAGCAAGCAACAAAAATATGAAAGGAGAGCATGTATCATTAAGCTTTTAAAGGCATGCAGAAAATACACAATGCAATTAATAGCTCATGCAGGTTTGGGTGTGGTTACAAATTCACACTTGTATCCATGCCATCATGTACAACTGAAGACGGTCACAATTTGAACACAAAAAATATAAACCTAGCCACCAAAGGACACTTTCAAAAGCAGCTCTTCCAATCAGATTCGAGAAGCACAGTCCATATCCAATGACATCAGTATCATATTGGGCAGATCTGCTCATACACAACCATATTCATACCAAACCGTCTGATTATCCTCAGAAACCAACAATGCAGCTTCTGTGTCACCAGGACTGAGGCATGCAGGAGTGAGAAGATTATTGCTATCTAGAGAAGACTGCAGGTTACTGTTAGCAGAGTTCTGATTATCAGAAAACTGGTCATCCTCTTTCTGAGCAGCTTTATCCAAGGCCGAAGCCTCACGGGGTAATTTAGTGCCTAGTCTCGGGGGGAGTCCACTTATGTTACTGACTAATTCTGTATTCAGGGATAGAAATGGCTGAGATGAGTGAGGCACGGGAAACAGTACTAGGTTATCTTTAGTGGAGATTCCAAATGGATCACCAGACAAATTAACAGTGGGAAAGGTTTGGGTACGAGACTGTGACCTTTCTGATCTTGCGTTTCTAGTCTGGGCATACAGAGACTCAAAGTGGAATGCTGGCTTATGTGTGGCTAAGTCGGGCGCTGGGCTGTGAAGGCTATGAGGGGACCACTGGTGTAAACAGTACTCACTAGATGCTGTCGAGATGCTGCCATCAGCTGGAGCTGGTGCTGAGTCAGCTGACACAGGCAGCCTACTGTCCTTGGTCAAAAGGTCGTGGACGCTTGTCCTTCGGGTGGTCCCTTCAGCAGTGGAGATCACGCTGCTCGCACGAGGTAAAGTAGCATAAGGATTACTGTCTTTTGATTGTCTTGACAGAGAAGTTTCTTTTACTAGTTTTAACTTTCCTTGAGGCCCTGATGCTGATTTTCCTGAAGGGCTGATGAAGTGAGTATCTTCAGTCTTTCGAGAACAAGGCCTCACAAATGGTTCAGGCTTAGCTGTCCGTCTGTCATGGAAGTCCCCTGGAGTTCTTCCACTTACTGACCTGGCCAAACCACAGCTAACTGGCTTGTCCTTTCCCAGAAAGTCAGAAGAGACAGACAAACTTTTCATTACTTCGTCTAAAAGATTATCTTGACTTGAGGACTTTATCTGTTGGTAAGGAAAAATAAAACAAACAAACAAACAAAGCTATGTTTTTAATTTTACTGTTGTATTAAGTTCATCACATAAAAATTGCTATTAACTCCATAAACAAAAGTCACTGCATTTAACTTGTGCTCTTCAGCCAAACCCAAGTCACCACATAGAAAACGAACCTGTACTGAGGTAAGCTTGTTACTTTCTTCCAAGAACTGCTGCAGAGTGACCACTTCACTCCCGGGGGAGCCAGTTTTGACCTTGTGATGTGTCCGACTCTCTACCGTTTCAGGCATTTTGTGCTGGAGCATTGGGCTTGATCTGGTCTGCCTCTTCAGGTACTGGATCGGACTGCTACCACTGCTGGACCACGTCTCATGATCATGGAACAGGCTAAATTCTCCACTGCTGTGGCTCTGGGGCCTGCTCTGGCTAGTAACTGCACCTGCTTGTGGGAGTAAACGGTGGACTAAGAGTTCAAAAGTAGACATGAGATCAATGTTATCAATGCTACATAAAGAGATAACGTTTGTTGACTTAGTTCTTACTATTTAAATAGCCAAAATTGCTTTCAATTTTCTTTAAAATGTTTAGTAAATCATGTTGGTTTTTCACAGAACTGTCTACCAGAGTACAGTCATTCTCCTTTCTGTCCACTGACTGACGGTGTAAATACCACCAGGCAAAGATCCTCTTGCACCACCACGTCTAAACCCCAAAGCCTCACTCCAAGGAGGCACTCAGTACAATTGAGGAATAAATGAGTGAGTGAAGAACAATTATATAAAACTCAGGCTCAGGAAATTAATTGTAAAATACCTCCCAACTTATAATATTAATAGGTTTATAAGACTCTCAATTATTTAAGAATATTAAAACTTCTAAGTGCTATAAAGATAGGATATTCTGACTTTCTGCTTCCTTATAAGGTTTCATTACCAGCTTGAAAACGTAAATCTGTTCATCTTCAATGAAAAATCTTAAGATAGGGGGTGTTTTCTTTATGTTGTGTTTTTTAAAGTATAAGGCATACAACAAACACTATTATTTTGAAAATTCTATTAAGAACATAAGAAAATAAAGTTAAGTTGGTTTTACTTTTCTTGTATGCCTCAATCATTTTATTATTTCTACTCTCCAACCTTGGTATAAGGATACCCAGCCTTAAACGACTCAGTTGAGGCTGAGATCTCTGTAGGAACAAAGGCCCTTAAAGTTAATGCTACTGATGCCTCATCAGTGCTGACACATTCTGATCAGAAGGAAAACTTAGTGCATCAAGACAAAAAAAATCCAACTGTCTGTGGTTTTCTCTGTGGAGTTCTAACGGGTCAAGACCTGTACTGCCAATGCAGAGGCAAGTGGTTCAACTTGATCAACTGCTCCAAGGAAAAAAAGGCGGGCAGTCTCCTCCCGTGCCACGTAAGGCCTCTGAAAATGTGCTGCAGGGTCAGCTGAGTCGCTTTCAACCACATGGCACATAACAACATGCGGCATTTTACAGAAAAAAGACTTTAAGTTTACAAACGAGGAAAAAAATGCATTGTATTTTCTCCCTATATTTGTCTACTGGTCTTAAGAATGCAATTATAAAAAAGGAAAATTAACTCCTCTCAAAGTCAGTTTTTCTAATAACATTGCCATAAAGCCTTAATATTAATGAATATTAATAAAGTTACAACTGAGATAATTTTAAAATATAATGAGCAGAAAACAAATGCATCAATAATTTGACAACCAAGAGCTTTGATGAATAACTTCTGTAATCTCTTTAAGAAATTTCAGAATCTAAGTAGTAGAGAGGAAAAAGGTTATTATGTTGAAGTTTTCAAACATTTACATTAAAATTTCAACTTGGAATGCATACCAAAACGTGAAAATATTAAAATGCACCCGTAAATTTAGCACTTGAACAACACTCTCACATAACTGTGTCCCTAATTTAATATTTTTAAAAGTTTCCCCTTAATTAGTGGATAAATTAAGCTCAAAGAATTTCTAAAATTCTTCTGTGGTGTAGGTGCAAATACACATGTATCAGGAGAAAACAAAAGACAGCCATCTTTATGTCATAAACAAAACAAATGAAAAACTTAAATAAAAATAACTGCTCCTGACTTCATGTTTGTAAACATTGCAATATATTTGTATTACAATGTAAAAAGCATGAAAATGCCAAGGAGCTGTGTTTCAGACATTATGTGACGTGGAATTCACACTTTATTCTAGTAACTTCATGCCATCTCTCACTATCCAGGACTGGAAATGGATGGAGCACAAGAATGAATTTACCTACAGCATACCTTTGACTTCATGAAGTGAAGCATTATTATTGCTATTGCTAGTGGATGTTCTGCCACTATCGAGGCTGGCTGGTCTTGAAGCTAAATGAAAACATCAGGAGACAGAGTGGTAAAGCATCCGGGTGACGACACAGACCTGGACATTCTGAATGCCTCCGCGGGGACAACCATGCCAACATGCACGGGCTGAGCACGCCCACAGATACACCTCACAGGTGAGAAAGCAAAAGCCATTCCCAAGGCAGCTCAGGACAGGCCACTTCCCACACAGGAGTGGAGATTCAAAGACGACACCGTGATTATACAGATTGGAAAAGGCATTCTAGATGGACAGGAAGTTAGTTTTCACTGAACAGAATTGCATGGTGCAGGGCCAGGGGACGAGGACACTTACAACAGATCACACAAGGAACCCTGGGCACTGCAGAGCCGTCACGGACAGGAGCCACATGCCCATGTGCACATGCCCATGTCCTCTAGTCCTGTCCATATAAGGCAAACAACTGTACCATTAACACTGCCCCGTGAGAATTCTCAGAACCCCACTGATACATGAAATCTCCTTAACATGTTACAGAATTACTGTTAATAACTTAATTTGGTAAAGTATGATTTTACAGGTAGAAATTAAATCTCAAATATTCAATACTGTAGTAAATTTGGTTTCTTAAAATCCATCTTTTACTAACAAAATTACCCTTCAGAATTGACCTTGACTAAAATAGAAACCATAAAGATGAAGCAATATCCTTAAACAGTGCCATAGAGAGTATTAAGTTTGAAGGAATGGCAGATGTGAGAAATGCGATGCAGGTTAGAAAAAGCATGCTAACTAGCAACGCCACATTCACCTAGATAATGCAAATTTCTCGGCATTCCCATTCTGTAGTCAGTACCTATTCTCTAAAGTTCATATCTTACCATGAACTCTTGATCCCGTACTAGAATCATCACTAATACCTTGTGGACTTATGTCTTCAAAGGATGTAGTATCTACATAAAATAGCAAAATGCATATCAAGATATTTTTGTAGCTGGGAAAATGATCGTAAAATCTTATTTCTACAGAATATGGACTTTCTTTTTCTGATCACGAGCAATACATTAGTGTAAAATATGTCACAGACTCAACCACAAACTGGAACAGGGCATAAGAAACAGTGCCTGGTTAGGGGGAACCCCAGAAGCAAGGAGATACTCTCCCCTGAGACCCTGTCAGGCAAAGCACGAGCCCAGGTTCCTGCAGGAAGGGCTCGGTTTACAGGTGCAGTGTCTTTACTTTTTTTTTTTTTTAAAAAAAAAAAGAACTTCTACCACTCCCTCTTTTTTGCCTTATTTACCTCTACTTTTCTTGTTAATTATCTAATCATTAGGAATGGAGGCCTAAGAAATTTAGTTATTTGTATAATGCCTTAATTTTTTTTTTTAACAGGATTTGAAAATTCTTCCTAAATAAAATCTAGATGATGTTTTGGTAATTATTTCAAGTTGTTGCTTTTTTAAAAAGTACACAGGGAATAAGTCAAATTAAAATGGCTGTTGTCAACAGTTACACCACAGTGCAAATAGCAGACGGCCTATACCTTTATTATTAACCAACTGCTTGGATCTGAAGCCTGCAGAAGAGTTGACAGTTGAAAAGTTGATGGCTGTAGTAGAGAAGGCCATAGCTCCCAATTCTTTCCTCCTTTTACCCGTTGGAATATCATCAGGAACCTCCAAATTCTCAGAACTACCTGTCCACTGTCCTCCTGCTAGGACCATGGACTGCACCAGGTCATTCATGGCTGGGATGCAAATGAAAGCAAATGAATCAGCATGGTTAATGCGCTTGCTCTTTTTATCTATTCTGTATCATAAATGATCTCGTTTTTGTCTATGGATTAATGTAAGTGAACATAAAAAAACTGTAACCAAAGGGTCATCTGAATTATGAACATGCATTCAACTGAATGAAATGAATAGGCCAAAGGCAGATAAAATTTGAGTGAATACGTTTATCCCACTCTCACCCCTTTAAAAAACAAGGACAGAATTTTACTATGTACAACTGCCATGCTTTTGTGCAGCGATGTACAGTATCATCAGAAGCCTTTGTGATTTTGTAGTGACAAAAATGGAATGAATAAAGGTAAGATGAGGAGCAGTTCTTATATAGCATTATTACTGAAAATGACAGAGTCCTTGGTCAGAGCAGGTTACTGAAGAAATGACTCATTTTATGAATCAAATAAATATACCATTCAATAAAAACCTGAAAGAGATGACACCCAAAGTGACAGGCATTTAATACGACTAGATTATTACCCATTTCAGTTATTAAAAAAGACAACTCAGAGTATTATTATAGAAAGAATGACAAACATTTTCAAGTGTTATAGGCCATTTTATTTACTTATCTAGTTCAGAGAAAATAAATTCCTGAGGCTAATAGGTTTTGTTCTATCTTCTTTAAGTATATTTCTTGGGGGAAAAAAATCACTATGGCATATAAGATTAAGGGTTTTTCCTGCCAACTTTTAGAAAGCACTGGGAATTTACAAGTATATTACATGTATGAGTGAACATATGCATGTAATACGTACATGTCTATGTTACTAGTAAACATACATGTAATGCAAATTCAGTGCTAGTTTTGAAAAAAAAAACCTTCTTCCAGCTCCTTGTATTATAAAAAGACTGCACTTTACAAAACAAGAATTTGGCACAGTCTTGAGAAAGGTTAGTGAGATATTAGTAATGGAAGCCAGTGTAGTCATTTGAAAGAAGCTGAACTGTCATAAAGTCTTACACATGGAACGACGGTAGCAGGCCTTCATTTTGTCTTTATCCTTCGGTCTGTTCCTCAAAAAGGGCAGTCTTTTCAGTGCAACCACTTTAATGTCAGAGCATGAGGAAAAACAGAAACAGGGAAATGAAAGAAAAAAGGGAGAAGAACAGATGGGAGTTAAATGCTGAAATTAAGGACAGAAATGAATGTCTGAGTCTCTGCTATGTCTGCTATCCTAAAGCTATTATTCTCATGCTGCTGAATGATAATGAAATATGAAATATGTACTCTGTTACTTTAAAATACTTGGAAAAGCACTGAAGACAATGATGAGGAACACACTTTGAAAGCCTGGAATGCCTACAGTTATGTAAAACCAGCAACTGATTAGAATTCCTCATCGAGGGAACAATTTTCCTATTTAACTTATAAAGTTCTACCTATCTCCAGAAACTCCATGAACTTTGATTAAATGTCCAAAGTTATAGAAAGGCTTCAGCCCTTCTGTTCATAGGGTCGCTAGGAGTCGTGCTCGACTTAACGGCAATCATCAACAACCCCCTTTGAAATTAAGGGTATTGATAAGTCATGATGAAAATGCACAGGGCTTTTTTAAATAAATTTTTAAATTTTTTTATAAAATATAAGGTTTTCCTTAGGAAAATGTACATTCTATCAAAATAATTTAGTAATAAACAACAAGAATTAGAAAGCCCGAGGATGTTTAAAATCATTTAAAAAGCGCATTAAGAAAGTTCATTTTTTCCCCTTAAACTTTAATAAAAACCAGGCTATTAATGTCTTTTTAAAACTCAATTCTGTTGTGTGGTTTTGTGGTTTTTTTCCTCCTTTTTTCTTTCTTGTTGCATACCATCATATTGGATTCGACAGGTACAGGAGGAGATTGGCCCTCCTTCTCCAGTGGAGACTCTGGTGGATTCGAACTGTGCATCTTGGGGAATTGAAGAGCAGCTTCTTGCCACCAGGACACCAGAGCTCCCCTACACTCATTCTGGGGAATTATTTCTGCCTAGCAGAGCGCTTCTAAAAATAAAAGAAGCCATCTTCTCTGTTCATTTTGCTAAAAGGTAACTTGTAAGAGGGAGGAAAATATATTTTGACAGTAATATTGAGCATTAAAATAGAACTCCAATGTGACAGGGATAAGGTGGCACTTCAGGTAAGCAAAGGTCAGTTATTCTGAAGGGCTTTCTGGGTGAGCTTATTCATTTCTTTTGGAGGGTGAGCTTTTTAAAAAAAAATTCCTAGGGAGTAATGCATAAAAATTTTAGTGAGTACAAGTTATATTTACCACCAAATTTACATAGGAGTCATTGGAACAAATATAAAATCCTAAACTCATTAACTATTATTAAATTACATTTATAATAAAATTTAGGTAACATGGAAAATGGTGACACATTTTGGAAATGCAATTTAAAGATTGAAAACATACACAGCGTTAGTAACTGCACTTTTTCATGTCTTGTTATTATCGTATAACTAAAGATGTTGTGAAAACCTGACAAGCGCCATGTTTAAAGAGAAAGCAGTGGAGGGGCGTTCTTAAAGCTATTTGACTGCTATTAGGCAGCGCCATGAATTACTTACGCTTTTAATCTGACCTATTTTTTTCTTCCTAGCTTGAGAAACACAGCTGTTTTCAATGGTTTAAAAGAAATGAACCGAAAACAATGTAAAAATGGACACTTGGCTAAAACAAAGCTGAATGGATGCGGCATGCATGTGTTGTCTTGTTGCGGTACTTTTTTTCTCCCCCTTTTTCTATTTTTAACTGTTTTCCAAAGACTGCTTTGCTGACAGACTCTCTTCCAAAATGGACAGGGTAAAAAGCTCTCTAGATTCCCTAACTGCAGAATCCGAGTCCTCTTAAGGAGTTAATTTGTAGACATACAATGTCCTTTACCTAAACAATACTGAATGTAAGTGAACATGAGTGTTACTGGGTTTTGCGCTTATTTCTAAATCTAAAACTGACTAAAGTTCACTTCCTCTTAAGTCGTCATCTCAAAGTTTCAGTAGATTGTATAAAAAAGTTAGATTTATACTTAAAAATGGAAGATGGCTTTAAAAAAATTACTGTGCCTTTCAAGTATGTGTGCTTGTACGTGAATGAAATTATTTTCCTTCCATTAAAAAAAAATCAAAACAAAGCCCACACACCAGAGTACACTCAACACAACTGCTTGTTTACCACCACGATACAGAGCTCACAAGCAACCGGTGGCACAATGGGTAAGCACTCCACGGCACAGTAGACCTGGTGAGGTGCTCCCATAAAAGTAACAGCCTAGGGGACCCTCGGGGGCAGCTCGACTCTGTCTTCTAAACTATGAGTTGGAGTCAAGTCTACAGCAAATAACAACACAGATGAATCCTCAGACATGCTCTTTGTATGTGATGTCCTACGGGATAAAGCACTGTCTTTTCAGAGAAAGTTTCCCTCAGGACAAAGCACTGGGTAAGGTTTTTTGTCAGTGCTTGGAGTGTACCTTAATTAAGGGTCTATCTTTGCAGGAAGAAGCTGAATTTGCCAGTAATGTACTTAAAAAGAAAAGTGTGTGTATATAGACATACAGAAGAACAATTTATTATTTTAGCAATTATGATAATATAAGAAGCTTCCAATTATCAATGCTGACTATGTATAAGAACATAGATACTAGTGAATTTTTCAAAGGACTAGCACTGGATTATTTTCTTCCTTTTAAATAAATTTCTTTAGACTTATCCTCTGCTCTTCTGGTTTAGTTAAACACACTAATAAGCAAATTAAAAAGTCTATGATTCTACATGGCACATCATTATGTTATACTAACACATTTGTTATTTCTTTTTTTCTCCCTGTCTTTTCATTTCAACTAATTTTTACCAAATAATCCTTCAATAATTTTCATCTGCAATACTTTCTATATTATTTTTTAATTTCTTCAAAATCATGCCTATTTTTTTTCTTTGCTTCCCCACAATGGAAACTCTTATAACTGGACATTAAGTATATGAATAAAACCTTATCATAAATACCTTATTCAGATTCAGTTATAAGCAGTTAGGAAAATAAAATCTTATACATCAATTTCTCCCTTGCTGCACATAACCATCCTTGCTCATGGTAAGACAACCAGCAACTGGCCGAGTATTCGGAGTTTTTGGTTCAGTGTTTTCTCCACTAAACTATAAATGACACTATCCCTGTGTGCGTTACAGTGCTCTAAACACACAAGATAGAAAATGATGTGCTTGTGTGCAAGTGAAGCAAAAACTGTATAATCTTACATATTTTTTAAAAATGTCATAATCTCCCCAAAGGATGCTTAAGACACTTAAAAGGAAGCTGTTAAAAGGCTGTGGAATCATCCTACAGATCACAAATGTCCCGCACTCACTGCTGCTCTTCTTGGCGCCCACGCTCTGCCCGTCCTCTAAGGAGTTGGAACCGACTGAAGAACTGTCTTGACTGTCCTGATGGGGGAGCTGAAGGAAGCCTTCACTGGAGTCCGAGCGCGTTGGGGTGAGTGTTAAAGATTTCTGTCGTTCCCGATTAAGATCTTTCTTGGATTTTATCAATTTTCTCATTTTTAAGGTAATCCAGTTGCCTCTCCTGATAAAATAACAACAACAAAACCACCACAGTTAGAATAAAAAAACGTAAATCCTTTACAAAACAAAACATATTGGCGAGCTCTGGTGGCCTAATGGCAAGAAGCTGCATTGCAATCCCAGAGATGTGCAGTTCAAATCCACCAGACGCTCTGCTGAAGAAGGAGGAAAAATCGCCTCCTGTACCAGTCAGATTTGATTTGACGGTACACACATAAAACAAACAAACAAACAAACAAAAAAAACCCCACAAATAAAAAACAACAAAACATATTAACAAGCAACTTTGACTTTAGTTTGAAATATTCATTAAGTTTGTTAATGGTACCTTCTAGGAGGTGATGGGTCATAAAATTTGTACTGATCCATAATTTTCTCTTCTAATTTCTCTTTTTGTCTTCTTAATTCATTTAACTTATCACTATAAAAATAAAAATTACATTTTAGGGTATGTATCCTTTTTATCACAGTAAATGATAACTAAGACTACGATCTTTTTTCCAAACACATTAAGAAAAATGCAAATACCATGATCAACAACTAAAAACTCATTAAGTATTAACAATGAAATTTTTTTTAAATTTCTTCTTTTAATCTGCAACTTAAATACTGGGATAAAAGACTTATATTTCTTTAACAAGATTTGTTTGTAAAAAAATTTTCCTTAGTATACTAAAGAATCTTCTCTCAGTATCTTTTTACAACTGTAATAAGTAATATTAACAAAAAAAACCCAACCCCATCACACAAAACAACAAACCCTCAAACTCATTGTCATCAAGTCAGAACTCAAACATAGCTGGCCCTCCAAAGGGTTTTTAGAGGTAGTTAATCGCACATAACTTCTTACAGTGGTTTCCTTAGTATTTTTGCAATGAGGGTAACTGATTATATAAACAAACAAATACAAATGTAAGCTATTTTGGTTGCTTTTAATTATGTTGTTACAGACTTTATAAATAATGTTTTAATCATATCATTGAAAACATGTTTTTCTTTTTGGTAACATTATTTAGGCTTATCTTACTTAGTAAACAGTTATGTCCTACCTATTATAATGAGTATACACATCTCACTACAAACTAGTTGTCACTTCAGTTAGTAGACTACTAACCAGAAGGTTGGTGGCTCAAATCCACCCAGAACACCATGAAGACAGGCCTGGTGGTCTGCTTCTAGAGTCACGGTCCTGAAAATCCCGTGTAGTTCTATTCTGCACACATGGGGTCATTCCAGTCAGAATTGCACCGCAAGCTAACTCAAGGCAATTAACAAGTATTTGTTATATACAGAAACATCAAAACTCACAGACCAAAGTGATTTCAATAGTATTCTTTGGCACTGCAAAACTGCTGTTTCTGTTGTGTACCGTCAAGTTGGAACTGAACTATAGCTGACACCTGAGTGGGTTTTCAGAGGCACTCAATCACTCAGCAGGAGACTGCCCATCTTTCTCCCACAGAGCAGTTTGTGGACTAGAACCACATACCTTTGCACTGGAAGCTCAATTCCTTAGTGCTAAACCACCAGAATTCCTGGGATGATTCAGTTGCTAAATTTTGTGGCATCACTTCTGCCAAAAGAATCAGCCCTCTTACTTTCTCTAAGATTATTGCTTTGTCTATTAAATCACTCCTACATAAAAAATCATTCTCTCTCGCACCTCCATCTGATGAAATTAACCTGTAGTCTTAGCAATATTGTCAAAGGCAAATATGTCACATCATTGCTATGGCGTGCCCTCCAAGTTGGCTACAAATTGACTACAACTGATACTGACTCTATCCACAACAACTCTGAACCATGTTCTATACTGAGCCAATGTCACAGTCACTGACACACCAACCCTCACTACTCCAGTTACTGTGCCAATCCATCTCATCCAGGGTCTCCCTCTTCAGCTTTTCAAGCATGGTATGTCAGACAGAGTTTCAAAGTCCTTGCTTCCAAAGAGCAGCCTGGTTTAACCTTCTCCGAAACATATCTCTTATTCTCTTGGCAGAACACTGTTGTTGTTGTTAAGTGCTGTCAAGTCATAGACGGCACTATGAATGAAAGTCCAACACTTGTGTGACTCTTTCATCCTTTCTCCAGGTTCACAGGGTTTCCAGAGGCAAGCTATTATGGAAGTGGATGCCACTCCTGCTTCCAAGCTTGTTTTAATCAGGAAGCTCCATCAAACACTGTTAAGGGGTAACCCTTAACACATTTGACACGTCAGTGTCACAGTGTTCAGCTTCACAGCAACTACAAGTTACTGCTGTATGGCAAGTGGACACACCAGGGTTATACAACCTAGAAGAATGTTTGAACAAAAACAATCAAAGACAGGACAGAGGGCCGCAGGCCCTTGGGCCCTATGGGATTTTACCATTCTGGCATGCTCAAATGCTGGCAACCTCTGGGCCAGAGACCACCACTCAATTCATCTGGCAAAAAGAAAGCAAATACAGAAATGTGGGGCCACACCTGCAGGGTAAGGACGAATGTCTTGGAAGTCTTAGTGTCAGCTGGAGACGACCTCTGGCTTCTGGAAGAGACACCAGTATGGAACTCTAGGGCAGGACATTACTGACTCAAAAACTCATTGCCTTCCAGGGCCAGGAGAAGACTAAGTGTAGGTGACCTTCCTGTGGTTTTTCAAAGGCTGTCAATCACTCAGGAAGATACTCCCCATCTTTCTCCCTTGTAGCTCCTTGTGGATTCAAATTGCTTGCCTTTAAGTGAACCATGTGACTTCCACAGACTATTCAACCAGGACTCTCAATGGACAGCCAACAGAACCATGAATCTGTCTCAGAAGAGTGTAATCCAGGCACTCCTTACAGACAAGATGCTGAAATACCAGCCCACAAACTTTGGTAATGTTCTCAGGAGCAGTTATTCCTTGGAAGAACGATACCATGCAAGTAGAGAAGAAGACTATCAAAAAGAAGCCAATGGGCTTAAGCATTTCAGAGATTGTGAGAACGGCAGATGAAAGGGCAAGGTCGGGTCTGTTGTTCCTAGGGTCTCTGTAAGTAGTCCTCTTGACAGTGGCACCCAACAACAAAGTACCAAGTGTGATCCACGAGGAGACATGCTACATTCCAAAAGAACAGCTTAATTTTTCGTATTTATACAAGTACTGTAGAGTCCGGGTGCTTAGCGGGAAGGAGTTGTGCTGCCAATTCAAAGGCGGGTGATTTGCAAACTCGGGTGGGGGGGGGTAGTTTCACTTTGATCTATGAGTCACTCTGAATCAGAATATATCTGGCAGCAGCGTGTCTGGTTTGGGTTTAACTACAATATGGAGCTGACTTAATACTAAGGGCCAAGAGGCGGCACTTATTTGCCAAAGACAATTATCACATTTGTTCATGGCATCTCCATGCTTTTCCAACTGCTACTCTTTTGGTCTAGCTGGTGTTCCTTATGCAAACTTCTACTGAACCACTGAGTCTCAATATTACCTCTGGGATAAGTTTGGGAATTTCTTTTCTCTCCTAGACTAAGATAACCTTTGTTTTATATTTGTGTATTTCTAGGGCCCCCTACACACACCTCCAAAAAGCAGTTACTGTATTTTACATGTTTATTTGCATTTCTCTCTTTTCCTACTTTCAGAAAAGCAGGATCCATTTGTTTTTCTCTAATCATATATTAAGAGCTGGAACATAGTACACAAAGAAATCTATGTTGAAATAATGAATGCCACTTAATTTTTTTTTAAAATGAGCATTTACATGTTCTCTGCTATGAGGGATGACAGTGACAAAATAATGAGTAATAAAGTGCACAATTACTTAATACCTACATGTACTGTCGTTGCTCAACGTGAAAAAGGTCTTTGCTTTCCATATTCTGCTCCAATAACGTTCGGTTCTGTAGCATTAATGTCTGAATTTGATCCAGCAGATGCCGATTTTCTTCCTCTAAGTTTCCTTTAAGTTGGCTTAGCAACTGTTTAAATACAATTTTTAAAACAGTAACAGTTACACTTAACATAAATCACCCAAAACTATGAAAAAGATGAAGCACTCCACAGACCTGTGTTCCACTGTGTGGACCACCGGATGGGTCAGCGCCAGAATGACTGCTATTAGCAGCACTAATGACAGCTAAAGGACTGCTTTCCATTCTGCACGCGCATCTTTCAACTCCCACCAATGTCCGATCTAACAGAGAAGAGCATCATCTAATAGAGCTTTTCTTCATGATCAGAAAGTACTGCTTTCTGTCTTCAGATTCAAATCTAATCTTCTTGAGAAGATTTAGGGACCTCTGGTGGTCTAGTGGATAGGGAGTTGTGTTGCCAACTCACATGCTAAGTGGTTCGAATACTTTCTTCCCTACATACTCTCTCCCCACAATTCACTCTTCTCCTTGAAAAGAAAAACTCTTTCATTGTTATGCAATCCCCCCAAGTCCACTCCACTATGCAGCCTTCATCGAGAAAGCCTTTTTTAAAACAAAGACTATGAAGTATTTTAAACACACATATATACATATTCAGATACATTTCTATATAAGGTGCTCTATCAGGAATGTAAAAAATATTCAGAGAATTTTTAAGTTTCCTCTACTTACCATAACCAGTTTCATGTCATTTGGGGTGACAAAATTAACTTTAAAATATAGGAAAATAAAACAACAACAAAACCCCAATAAACAACATACCAACATAAACCCCAAATACCACAAAACTAAAATTAAGCAAAAAAAACCCACCAGAAGCAGCCTACAGTGTCTGATTTACTTAACAGAAAAATATTTTCTCCAGATATACTACAATACTACAACATGGTAAAATTTCCGAGATTTTAAAAAGCTTTCATGTAAAATGACTAATGCATATCTTAATCTCATCTGTGACCAAAATAAAAATCCAAACTTTCATGGAGTTAATGACGTCTATACTATTTTAATAATAACACTAAAACATTATTTGCTTTTCTTCTTATCTCTTGAATGTATAGAGGAGTTTTCCAGATGTTACAAGGCATGTGATGTTGTAACAGACTGATTATAGAACAAATATGAGAACAGTTGTCTGTTAAAACTGTAATTGGCAGTGTAACTCTTTATCACTAGGATAAAAGAGGCAGTAAAAGGTCTGTATCGAGTATTAGAATATGCAAATCTTTAAATATTTCTCTACATATTAAGAATTCTGATGGCCTAATGGTTACGACACTGAGCTGGAGTCCCAAAGGCACACAGTTTGAGTCTACCAGCTGCTCTATAGGAGAAGGATGGGCAATCTCCTCCCGTGTGATTTACTGCCTCTGAAGACCTGCTGGACAGTCAGATGTAAGTCAATTTCTGATGGCACAAACCACCACCATGACATATCTGGCTCACCAACTTCAATAAGTCTAAAGAAATGTTTTAAAACAAGCAAATATTAATACTTATGATGAGAAATTCATTTTGAGCCATAAATACCTTTGGATGTTAAAACTTTATAAAATCTGACATGAACAAGCTACATTTTGTATCAAGATAAACCAACGTTCCTGCAGAATGGACACAATAAAGTTTCCCGTTATGAGGCCCTATAAAGAGAAGAGGAGGATGAAGATACTAAAAAGAACCACAAGGTACAAGGCCCACTGCCGGACACCTTCCATAAACCCTTCACCAGCAGACACTTGCCATACATCCTTGATTACATAAAAAATTTTTAAAGGTTGAGTATAACTTTTAAGTCATTAAACACATTAAGAAAGCATTTTAAAACTCTTAAGGGATGGCTATTTCAGATTGAGATGAAATTAACTACCTTAATGATTTCAAAGTCTAAAAACCAACAAAGCCCTTTACTCTTTCAATTGAAGCGTCTTCTCTGTTAAGGACATAATACACACACACTATTTAGTACAGCTAACATTTATGTGCATCCACTGTTCTTGTGGTTAGGTGCCATCGAATCAAATAGGACTCACAGGGACCGTATGAACAGTGGATCTGAACCCCGTCCTATCCTGCACCATCTTATTTCCTGACACACCAGAGCCCACTGTGGCTATCACCATGTCAATCCACCTGGTTGAGGGTCTTCTCCCTTTCTCACCCTTCACCCTTCCCAACATCACCTCCAAAGGTGCACCCTTCTCCAAGACAAGTATTTGTTTGTTCTTTTGGCAGTCCACGAAAAGTTCAGTACTCTTCTCCTATACCACAGCTCAAAGGCATCAATTCTTCTCTTATCACTGTTCACTGTCCAGCTCTCAGATGCATAGTAAGTGACTGGGAAGACCATGGCTTGAATCACATGTACCTTACTCCTCAAACTGACATCATTATTCCTCAATAATCTGGAGAAGTCCCTAACTGCAGATTTTCCCAAGTGCAATGCATCTCCTAATTTCCTTACTACTGGGTACCAGGGACGTTAACTGTGGATCCAAGTAAGATGAAGTTGTTGACAGTTTCAATCTCTTCTCCATCCATCACGACACTGCCTATTGGTCCAGTTGTAAGAATCTCTGTTTTCTTGACACTGAGGTGCAATCCATACTGAAGGCTGCATTCCTTGATCTTCTGCAACAAGTGCCTCAAATCCTCCTCATTTTAGGCAAGCAAGGTTGTGTCATCTGCACCACGCAGGTTATTGATGAATCTCCCTTCGATCCTGATACCACATTCCTCTTCTCAAGTTATTTGTTCAGCACACAATGTGCTGACTGGGTCTTCTTTTTAGTGCAAAGATTGTTGTTATGTGCTGTTGGGTTGCTTGTGCCTCATAGCAACCCTATGAACAACAGCTCTGAATCGTGCCCTATCCTGAGCCAGTCTCACTGTCTCTGACATACCTATCCCCCTTTATCCCAGTTACTGTGTTATTCTATCTCATCCAGGGTCTTCCTTTCCTGCACTGTCTCTCCACCCTTCCAAGCATGAGGTCCTCCTCCTCTGACTGGTCCCTCCTGGAAACAATGCCCAAAGTACATGAGACAGAGCTTCAAAATATTTGCCTCCAAGGAGCAGTTTGGCTTCGCCCTCTCCAGGAGAGACCTGTTTGTTCTTTTGGCAGTCCATGGTATGTGAAATTACTGACTTAAATTTATAATTTTAAAATCTGTTGAGGATGATATTCTGTTTACATCATAAAAAAAAAACCCCAAAACTATTTTGCAGATGATTGTAAGAAAAGATAGGGGGAAAAAGACTTTCGGTGAAATTATTCTTATCTTCCACAAGATGGGGATATTTACATGAGAATATAAAAGACAATCATAAAACTTAATGTTTAGGGAGCTCTGGTGGCCTAGTGGCAAGAAGCTGCACTGCAATCCCAGAGGAACACGGTTCGAATCCACCAGATGCTCTGCCGGAGAAGGAGGCGCAATATCCTCCTGTACCAGTCAGATCTGATTTGACGGTACACGCACACAAAATAAAAAATTAAAAAAAAAAAAACAACTTAATGTTTAAAGCAATTAGCAAACTAGATCATGGTAGGATATTTGCGTGATCTCAGTGTTTCCTTTAAAGACTGCCGTTAGTTGCGATAGGAAAAATAGTAGGTGTACAGTGGAAACAATAATACTTTGATTGATTAAAATAAACATCAGAGAGGGAGAGAGATATGATGTAATTCAAGATATGAACACTGAAAAGCATTACGAAAGTGGCAACTCATTCAGAAGCATTATATGAACCTAAACACAAAAGAAAGTATCTGAAAAATCCAGACTAAGAAAAAAAATCACAAACTGGTTTATAATAAAAAGTATGGCAATGTCAGGAATGACATTTTAAAGGAGCTATTACAACAATGTCAAACAAATGCAAAAAATCAATCCTAAAGTAAAAAAGGGAGAAAATGTCATTCATACACAGAGGAACAATATGGTGGTTAGCTCTGAAGAACTTTGTTCTTTTTTTAAAAAGTTGTTTCTGTTTATTCTCATGATATGTAAAATCAGGCACAAATCCCCTGCCATCAAATCTCTAACTCATAGCAACCCTTCACTGGGTTTCTGAATCTGTAAGGAGGAAACGGCTCATCTTTTTTCCTGCTGAATTCCTGGTGGATTTGAACCACTAGCCTTTGGGTTAGCAGCCCAACACAAAACCACTATGCCACTGGGCTCCATAATTACATACAAGAGGATATAAGATATAATCAATTCTCAAACTATTCCTAAACACTACCACCAACTATATAGTAAGCGGGAGAGTTTTACAAACCAAGTATGACAAAATAAAACATAATTATACATCTAAAGAAAAGACAGGAACAGCCTTCCTGCTCCTACTGGACAGATGGGTCCTTATCAAGGGCTATATGGTTGTTTGAGTCCTGTTTTTACTATTAGGTGCTGTTGAGAAGACTGCAACTCGTAGACATCCTGCGAAGAGCAAATGGAAACCCTGCCCTATCCGTGCCGTCCTCATGCTCTCTACAATGCTTGAGCCCACAGTCACCATGCCAGCCCATCTCAGTGAGGATCCTCCTCTTCTCTGCTGACCCTTTACCCTCCCCAGCATGTCGTCGTCTTCCTAGAACTGGCCCCTCCTGACATGCTCAAAATAGGTGAGACAAATCCTTGCTTCTCACAAGTCTCCTGCTTGCACTTCCTTCAAGGTGGATGAGTGTTATATCTGTTAATCTTCTCCAATACAACAATGTAACATCGGTTCTCTTGCTCTTTTCCCATAGAGCCCAGAAACCACCCTGTGTGAAAGCCCAAAGCAGTCCAGGTAAAGAGACCAGGTACAAAGGAACTGAATCAGTGTCACACGACAGCTTCTATCAGCCAGCAAACAAGTGAGCCCAAGGTTCTTCAGACAGTCTCAACATGCAGTTCTGTCATCTTCCAGCTGAGGGAAGGACTAGCTGGAAGTTGACTGCAGACAAACAGTCCCACTGTCCTTGTCAAATCCTCAACCATATCCTCTGTAAGAACATGAAATTGTTGCTTTCCATCTTGGGGTATTCTGTCACATAATCATAGTACAGAAATCCTGTTTCACTTACTCTGTTAATTTTCTGTTTTCTTTCATCAGAAAAGAAGCATCATAAAAACGGAGGAGACTTTTTGGTCTCCTTGGTCTTGGCATTTCTCAAGAACTCAATAAATAGTGTTCATTAAATGAGAACATAACCTTAGAAGCTGTAAACAATCTTGGCATATAAATTTAAGTAAATGATAAAGACATTTTCTCTGAACTCTTTGTAAATTTCAACAATTCCTGACCTTTCAGAAAAACTGCAATAAATATATACTATCATGTTGATGAAAATAGAATTATTTACATTTAGGCTTATCTTCAATGTAAAGGAAGGAAGTAATAAATGTGCCGAAGCTCACCTCACACTGGTTATTCAATTTTGTAGAAGTGATGTCCAGCTGTTGGTATTGTTCCTTTAGCTTTGAAAATTCAGCCTCTAATCTTGTTTGTTCCAGTTTAGAATTGTTTAGAAGACTCTTCAAATTTTTATGGTCAGTTTGTAAAACTTCAGTCTCTTTCAAAAGCTGGCTATACGTATTATTCAACCTACAAGGAGAAATCATGATAAGGTGAAATTACATTTTCTCCATTTTCACAATACAAAATTTACACAAAACAAAATGCCATAAATCACAGACAAATGTATGTAATATAAGAGGGGTTTTTTCAGCTATCAAATGGACTTAGAATTAGTTTCTAGTCTACAAAATGTAGATTCAAAAATATTCTGAATATCTTTCTCTTGAAATGAAATATTTTGGCCTTTAAATATGAGATATAAAGCAAGCTATGAAAAATGTAGCCATATAAACATCTGAATAGGAAAAATGAAAAATCTAAGTTTCATTTTAAAGTGAATTCAGATCCTCAAGTTCAACATAAGAAATTTATCAGAATGATCATTCATCCTAGTTTGAAATACTACATATACATACACAGTTTGCAAGATGATCAAAAGACAAGAAAGAGTTGGTCTAGCAGAGTGGTGGTAAAAGAGAAGGCACCATAATACCAGGTCTCATTACACTCTCTCTCAATAAAGCCCGGAAAGGCTATCAAGGTCCAAATATTTTATTATAAAATAGAACTATAAAACAAAGTATTAAGAGAAAAACAAAGAACATGGTCCTAACTTAAGCATTCTTCTAGAAATAGCTATGTGATTTTTGCTGGACAGTTACTTATTACTCTGGTGTCTTTAAAAAAAACACCCAAACAAACAACCCCAACAATACACCAAACTATATTAAAAAAAAAGTATCTGTAGCCAACCAGCTATTCAAGTTCCTAAAATTTCAAGTTGAATCAAATGATGCCTGGTAATGCAGAGAAACAGTTGTACACTTTGTCTGAAAGGAGTAACAGTTCTCGAGCACGTTTATTTTCTTGGTTACCTATCATTTTCACCACACAGTTTCCTGTATTCTGCGGCTACTGTCTCATGGTTTTTGTTTTCAAGCAGCATTTTCTCCTGCTCCACTTTGAGCATTTTTTCCAAGTCTTCTAATTGTCCTTTTTGTTTTAACAACTGATTGTAACTGAGGGGGAAAAAAAGGTTTATAGTATTTCCTTAGCAAAAATTCTTTTTGAAATGAAGCAAACAAGAGTAATATTATTGCATAAAACATAATAATTTTAATTTTCTAAATTATTTCTTAGATTTTTGTAACACATAAAATTTATTGCACTACTTGAAAAAAATGTATTTTAAATTTACAACTTAAAAATTGTGATACATTACCGATCTTCAAGGTCTTTATGTTCCACCTCAAGGTTCTTGTGGGCACACTTGAGGGTCCCATGTTTAGCGATAAGAGATTCATACTCTGAAGCCTGCCGTTCATGAAGCAGCTCCAGCTTTTCATGATCTTTGAGCAGAGAATCGTAGAGAGATTTCAGGTCTTCTCTTTCCTTAATTACAGACTCATTCTCATTTTCCAAGGAGGACTGCTGGATCTGGAGCTGCGCATTCTGATTCATAAGCGAGGTACTCTGAGAATTAAGGGTGGAATTCTCCACCTACAAGAATAAACAGTATCAGCAGACGTGTTCTTTTGTTAAAAAAATACAAGACTACAGTGTTAACTGTAGGAAATTTCACACATCATGGTAGATAACATTCATATCGTATTGGAAAATGCTGGATTTTAGCTTTCCAGAGATTGAGGTTACCTTTTAAATTTTGTGTTCCAAAGCATTTTTGGGGGTGTATGTGTATTTATAAACACACACATATACACAGGTATGTCGTTTGAATTGCTTTCAAATGACATTGGACAACCAGACACAGATGCCCACTTTAAGTACTCTTTTTAAATACTGTATTGCCAAGTACTTGCAAGGGCAGTAAGAAAACAGAAGGAATTACGGGGCATCCAAATTGGAGAAGAGGTGGTAAAGTGTACTATATGCAGATAATTCATGACACTGTACACAGAAAATCCCAAAGACTCAACCAAAGTACTGCCAGACCTAGTAGATTAATTTAGCGGAGTAGCAGAATACAAGATCAATACAAGAAGCAACCTGAAATCCACATATACAAAAAGTACAGAATTAGAGATGTTTATAATTTTCTAGAATTTGGAAATCAATACAAATTACTTCTGAAAATTCAACTGGAACTTGTCTCAAGTCTGTATTAAATTAAAATTTAATTTGCCAATTGGAATAGGGTTACTGAAGAAACCTTTATTAGTCAGAGAGGGACCTTCTTTTACTCTTTAAGAGATTTCAGAGATGCCCTAAATATATCTATCTGATTGTTTATATATAAAAAAAGAGCACTGACGATCAATATAAAGTAAAAGACGGATTCCTTGAACAAAGAACACGTTTAAAGACAATATTCCCATGCTATGGTATTTTCTAATAACTAATCTGGAAAGAAAACGATAAAAAAGAAATAAGGAATGGAATGCTACAACACAATTTTCTGATTAATTATAATAAATTTTTTAAACTTATAATCAATTTTTGGTGCAACCACTATGGAAGGCAGTATGGCACTTTCTCAAAAAGTTGCAAATAGAGATACCATTTGACCCAGCAATTCCAATACTGGGAATATAACCCAAAGAGACCATTACTGACATCCAAGCAGATATATGCACACCCATGTTTATCGCGGCTCTGTTCACAATAGCAAGGAGTTGGAAACAACCCAGGTGCCCATCAACAAACGAATGGATAGAGAAGCTGTGGTATATTCACACAATGGAATACTACACTGCATTGAAAAACAAGGAACTCATGCAATGTTATTCAAAATGGGTGAGCACGGAGGACATTATGCTGAGTGAAATATCTCAGTCGCAAAAGGACAAATATTGCATGGTGCCACTGTTGTAAAATGGGACTGATATCAGGGTTGGGGTAAGACTGAGAAAAACGGGATAAATTGTGTATACTGCACTGAAACAGATGAGGGAGAGAATAATGTAAAAGCAATGTATTATGGTTATCACAAGAGTCCACAATGAAGGTTGCATAGTGGAATATACTTGGGGCGGTGGGAAGGGTATGGGGGGATTGTGTACCAGGGAAGGAGTGTTTCTTTTACTTTTGAAAGAGAGGAGCGAACTGGGGAGAGGGGAGGGCTGGGTGGGGAGAGAAGTGCAGCAATGAATGAATGGAAATCCAAAATCTCTGTAAATGCTCATTAAAATTATTTAGGAAAAAAATTATGATCAGTTTTATAAAATAAAGAAAAGATCACAAAGTAAAATGATCTTTATCACGACTTGTTGAGTGTGAGAATTCTGGTGGCTTAATAGTTAAGAGTTTTACTGCCAACTCAGTGGCATATGCTGTATTCTACCAGCTGCTCCACAGGAGTAAAATGGGCAATTTCCTCCTGTGCAATTTCCTATCTCTGAAAACCTAGTGGAGGGTAAGCTGTGAGTTCATTCTGACTCAATGATACAAAACAACACGTGTTGACTCAATTTATAAATAACTTTTGAGGGACTGTTACTTAAACCATGCTAGATTTGGAGAGTTGGCAAGGTATAAAGTAAAAAGATTTTACTGTATCTTCAATTAGTAACTTCATTCCAAGGTCTCTACTTGAACATCAGGTTACAACCTGAAGGTTGGCGTTCTGTGTCTGCAGAGTGGTATTCTGCTCCTGTAACGACACCGTCTGTCTCTGAAGGGCAAGAATCTGAGCCTGCAAGTTGTTGTTCTGGGTCTCCAGTTGCTTGAGTTGAGTTTTCAATGCTTGCTTCTCGGCTTGCAGCGTGGCATTCTTAAAAAAGAAAGCACACATATTAAAAACAAAAGCAAGGCAACAATGAGTAAATGATTTCTTTTTTAAAATGAACTGGGTGGGGGAGAGATGAAGAGGGGAAGAACCATGCAAGAATGAGTGAAAGAAAATCTATCATGTATCATGAAGAATCTAAATATGGCAGTGTGGTAAGTGCACAGTTTAGGACAGGATCACTACTTCACTAGGAAAAGCATCAGGGAAGACTTCTTGCAGGAGATATTTGCTATGAGAGCTGAATGTTCAGGTAAGCTAGTCATGTATTCCAGTTAGAGAAGCAAAGAGAAAGACCCTGAGAGAGGAATAGAGAGAGAAGAGATTAATGTGAGTAGAATGAATTATGTGCCAGGCTCTGGCTTACGTTGTTCCCGAATTTTAGCTGATATTATTATTCCCAGATAACAGAACGGAATGAGTGGTATGATACAAGGTTAGAGGTAGGGTCCTGGGTAACTTAAGAATTTAATTGAACATAATAAAGAATGTAGATTTTATTCTGACATGGGAAGAAATCACTGAAGATGTTATAAGGAGGAAGGTGACATGATCTGGCTACTCTATTAAAACTGGATTGAAGTGGGCCAAGAAAGGAAGGAAGGAGGCCAATTAGAAGACATTAGGAATCCAGATGAAAAGATGATGATGAAACCCAGACGAGAATGGCAGGAGTAGAGATGGAGTGAAGCACAGCCTCCCGTTCTATTCTGAAGACAGAGTTAACAGAGCTTGGTCTTCTATGAGAGTGATAGAGACAATTACTCAAAATTACTAGTTCTTCAGATTTTTTTTTTTATTACATAATATAAATCAGTCAACAAAGTATAAAAGTTGAAAAACAGGTTAGACAAATTACATAGCCAGTAAATGCTTTATATCTAGAGCACCTTATTTCTACTTAAAGGTTTTCCGTACTCACATTTCTTTCCACTTCAATCAGTCTGTCTTTAACTTTCAGAAGCTCCCTGGTCGTTTCCTGACTCTCCCGTTCCCATTTGTTATCTGCACCAGATACTGGAGGAGAGCTCTGTACCATCTTTTCTTCATCTTGTCTCTGTTTAAGAGCTTCATAATTTTTTTTCACCTAAAATATTGTTAAAATATTTTATTGAAGAGAAAAAAAAGTTACCTCTGCATTTCCTTTCAAGGAGAGAGATATGTCTCTTTGGGATGTAACTTTCTAACAAATCTAACCTGACTTTTTACCTTAAAAAAATAATTCTATTTCTTAGAATTTAACTCTACATTCATCTCATGAAAGAAGCACTTTACTTAAAAGTGATAAATATTATTCACAATTTTCACTACTATTATGATCACAATTGAGGTTTATTAGAATAGAAATTCTCTCCTCGTAGAAATACCCTTCTCTGTCCCATGCTATGCTCTCATAATTCTGTAACTGAAGATCCTATTGTGTGTGATGAGAACAGCCTTATAAAACACACTATCTGGAGGACATCAGTGGCGCAGCCCTTTGTGTGTGGCGCTGCTAACCAAGAATGTATTATTTGGGCATAGACATGTTGCTAAATACTAACATTCCTTTTCTGGAGCTTTTAAAACCAATTTAAGGATGCCTGGTAGCATAGTCGGTTATGTGTCAGGCTGCTAGCCATAAGGTCAGTGGTCTGAATTCATTAGCCAGTCTGTGGAAGCAGCTGAGGCAGGCAATTTTCACCAACATGATTTATAGTCCAGGGAGTAAACAAATGCAACAATGAATTAATAAATGAAAAAGATTTACAAACCAAGAAATCCAATAGAGGTTTGTCAGAAGTTAGAAGCCACTCAACAGTGCTGGATGTGGTTTAGGGTACGAGTGATTTAGGCATTTCACTGATATTCCCAGGTAAAAATGAAAACAACTTGATATATGTGATAATTTCTATTAAATACTTAAAGGCCTGCCCCTTTAAGAATGCTATATTGCTGGAAAGAGCTATTGTCATAAATTAATGGCTTCTTTATTCAAATCTTGAACCACATATATTACTGCAATGACTCTTACAAAGAGTGAGCAATTGGAAAATGTATTTTATGTAGTTTTCTGATCCTTACAATAAAATATTCTTTAAGAAAGTGAGTGCAATGCACACCCATGTTCATCACGGCTTTGTTCACAATAGCAAGGAGTTGGAAACAACCCAGGTGCCCATCAACAAACAAATTGATAGAGAAGCTATGGTATATTCACAGAATGGCATACTACACTGCATTGAAAAACAAGGAATTCATGCAATATTATTCAAAATGGGTGACCCTGGAGGACATTATGCTGAGTGAAATATCTCAGTCGCAGAAGGACAAATATTGCATGGTGCCACTGTTGTAAAATGGGATTGATATCAAGGTTGGGGTAAGACTGAGAAAAACGGGATAAATTGTGTATACTGCACTGAAACAGATGAGGGAG